TTTCTTTATACGAGACATGTTCATTTTGTATTGAATGTTATTAATTCCATAGCTAGATTATATAAAATAGTATTATGTTGTAAAGACAATCAACATATGTGCATAAATTCGTGTCTGGACGTGAGAGAGAGAAAAAAAAAAAAAAAAAAAATCACAGGACAGGTTAATAACTTTTGAAGGCTGGCTCTATTTATCATCAAAACAAAAAAAAATGACAGCTAGATTAGGTGGATGAGGGCGAGGGTGATCCTCGCTCCGATGCGGGACAACAGGTCATCAAACTGGGTGCGTGACAGGCGGAAGTACCGCTGACAGCGGCCGTCATCCAGCGCAGCTCCTGGAGCGAGCAAATGGTGAAACTCGCCAAACGGTTCGGCTCCGAAGGGTCCGGTGGACACAAATATACGGCGACGATGATCCCCACGCCGCTGTTCTGCTCTCCAGAGTAAATAAAGAGCGGTAACTCTCTGTTGGTGAATGCTCGGTCGACATAAAAACAATGACCGCCAACGGATTTCGATTCTGACGCGCGTAAATTTCGCTTCAAACTTTTGTTTTTAAGCGCGCCAGTTTCGCTCTTGACACGCGAAATAACACAAAGTGGTCAAGCGTCAAACTAGACGCGTCAGGCGCGAATTTGACGCGCGATTCGCGTCCGGTGTGAACTTAGCATAAGAGAAGTTTATCATTTGGCAAAATAAAAATATGTTATGGCTCAGGTCCCTGCTGTTGGGTAGACATCCACCAAGTCACATTGCTAATAAGAGTCAAAGTACTGTACACACTAAATAATGCTGGGTTGTTTTAACCCAATTTTGGGTCAAATATGGACAAACTCAAACAATGGGTTAAAAATGTAATTTTAAAATGTAACCCAATGGCTGGGTTTCTCTATATTTGACCCAAAATTGGGTTAAAACAACCCAGCATTTTTTAGAGTGTACATCTCTGCTCAACAAGACATGTGATTTGAAGAATCATCTGTGGATCTCAAACGATATGCAACAATGATAACACTATATCCACCATCAACACTGCTATATCATTGCTCAAACAATGAATATCACTTTGTATGCAACAAAACATCACAGAAGTTTCATATGTTGTCATGTTGTAAATGCACATGATTTTTAATCAATGTGTTACATGCAATCACAAAAAGTGGGCTCAAAAATACTTTAAGTTGATGGAAATACATCCACAAAACAGCACAATACATAACGTGCGTGTGTGTGTACTCATGTAAGCCATACGTCCAGAGAGACCCTCTGAAACAAGTGAGACTTTAAGACGGAGGAAGTAGTTTTTTATTACTAAGCAAACATTTCCCAGACCACTGCAACAAAAAACACACACATGGGCTGACATTCATGAACTTTAAAAGCTATTTGTGTTGTGCAGGTGTGAGGAACCGGGGGAACAAAACAGGAACTACAGAAAAACCTGTAACCGTGTCTGTGATTTGTGAACTCAACCAATCAGAGCTGATGGACCAATGGTGAACCTCTTCACTGTATTGAGATCAAAATCTAGGTTTTTTTTATGACCAGCATTTTTACAATGTTTCAATATTTGTTTCTAATATAATATTTGTTTGTGTGAAATAAAATGAACATCCGCAAGCCTTTTCTTCCTTCAAGAAAGTGATATTTACAGGCAAAACAGAGTTTTTTTTAAATAGCTTGAGTTTCTAGTGTGCTGTTGACCAAGACGTGAAGGCTGAAGGTCAAGCTCACCCTCCAGTGCATCCCCGAGACACGATGAATTTGTGCCGTAGAGTCTGATTGGACCCACAACCTTTGACATGAACAAGAAAAGCGATAGGACGCATGTTCCCTGCAGTCAGTGACGGAACAGACCCCAATTCTACATTCGACACCCAGTGACGCTGCTTTGTTAGATTATCAGGTTCTCCGCGTGACATCACTGCACTGCCTCGGGCACACACAGGCCTTCACTTCATACAGGTTTATTCTCCACTTCTGTTTCCATCTGAGACACTTCATCGGTTATTTAAGAGTGTTTGCGAAGACCAGCACAGGTGCCAACTGAGCTGCAATAACACAACATACATCTATACGTCTGGAACTATACGTCATCTATACTAGACTGGAACTATACATCATCTATACGTCCGTAACTATACATCATCTATATGTCTGGAACTGTACGTCATCTATACGTCTGGAACTGTACAACATCTATACTAGACTGGAACTATACATCATCTATATGTCTGGAACTATACGTCAAACGTCTGGAACTAAACGCCATCTATACGTCTGGAACTATACGTCATCTATACGTCTGGAACTATACGTCATCTATACGTCTGGAACTATACATCAAATGTCTGGAACTAAACACCATCTATAAGTCTGGAACTGAACGTCATCTATATGTCTGGAACTATACGTCAAACGACTGGAACTAAACGTCATCTATACGTCATCTATACGTCCGGAACTATGTGTCATCTATACATCTAGAACTTTATGTCATCTATACGAGCCTGGAACTATACGTCATCTATATGTCTGGAAATATACGTCAAACGTCTGGAACTAAACGTCATCTAAATGTCTGGAACTATACGTCAAACGTCTGGAACTATACGTCATCTATACGACTGGAACTATACGTCATCTATATGTCTGGAACTATACATCATCTATACGTCTGGAACTATACGTCATCTATACGACTGGAACTATACGTCATCTATATGTCTGGAACTATACGTCAAACGTCTGGAACTAAACGTCATCTAAATGTCTGGAACTATACGTCAAACGTCTGGAACTATACGTCATCTATACGACTGGAACTATACGTCATCTAAATGTCTGGAACTATACGTCAAACGTCTGGAACTATACGTCATCTATACGACTGGAACTATACGTCATCTAAATGTCTGGAACTATACGTCAAACGTCTGGAACTATACGTCATCTATACGACTGGAACTATACGTCATCTATATGTCTGGAACTATACATCAAACGTCTGGTACTAAACGCCATCTATACGACTGGAACTATACGTCATCTACAGTATACATCTGGAACTATACATCTATACAACTGGAACTATACATCATCTATACGACTGGAGCTACACATTATCTATTCATCTGGAACTATACGTCATCTATATGACTGGAACTATACGTTATCTCATTATCATGTCATTATAACGCAAACATTGTCATTTATACGTCTGGAACAAAATATTTTTTACAGTGTAGTAGGTTATCCAAATGTTTAATGACAAGAGAAAAAAGACTGTAAAAAGTGCAAAATTGAGTAAACCAGTTGCCTTAAAATTAATAAGTAAATAAACAATGCTTAATTGAAAAAAATAGGTTATGTGAAGCAGACAATTCCACATTACTTATTTTTTTGTCGAATAAACATTAAGTTTATTTACTTAATTTTTTTTTTTTTACGTTAAGTCATCTAAAATGACAGAGTGTCTCAAAGATATAAAATGCTGGATGACGCGTAATTTCCTGCTATTAAATTCAGATAAAACGGAGGTATTACTTATTGGTCCAAAAAACTACTCACAAAACCTCTCACAATACAACTTTAATATAGACGGATGTCCTGTTACTTTATCCACAACAGTAAAAGACCTGGGTGTTATACTAGACCGCAACTTGTCGTTCGAAAATCATATTTCATATGTTACAAGAACAGCCTTTTTCCACCTTAGAAACATTGCTAAGCTACGTAACATGCTATCTATTTCTGATGCAGAAAAATTAGTTCACGCATTCATGACCTCGAGACTAGATTACTGTAATGCTTTATTAGCTGGTTGTCCCTGCATCCTCAATAAACAAGCTACAGTTAGTACAAAATGCAGCTGCTAGAGTTCTTACTAGGTCAAGAAAATATGATCATATAACACCGATTTTATCATCTCTACACTGGTTACCTATTAAGTTCCGCATCAACTACAAATACTACTACTGACCTATAAAGCCCTAAATGGTTTAGCACCTATGTACTTAACGGACCTTCTTTCGCCCTACAATCCACCGCGTTCCTTAAGATCACTAAATTCAAGGCTTCTGGTCATTCCTAGGATATCGAAGTCCAGTAAAGGAGGGAGGGCGTTCTCGCATTTAGCTCCAAAACTCTGGAATGGCCTTCCCGATACGGTCCGAGCCTCTGACTCGCTGACACAGTTCAAAACTAGATTAAAGACGCATCTCTTTAGTCAAGCATTCACATAATGCTTACCTTCTAGTCCTCTGTTATGCCATACGGAACCGTTTGCCACTGAAACTGCTTAACGCACCAGTGGGGCTCGACAGCCTTTTAGACAAACGGGTCGGCGCGTATGGTTGGGTTGCGGAGAGTTCGGGTTACGGAGAGTTTGTGAGTATATAACGGAAATTATTATGAACATCAGCTATGCTAATTATTTCCCATCTGCCTTTCTGCTGTTATCTCGGGACGCTTGTCCCGAGAAAAATGGCGTTCGTCAGGTCAGTTTTGTGTCCAGCCTCTCACGGGGATTTCGGATGCCCCAACGCCTGTGATGAGACGACTCAACGCCTGTGATGAGACGACTCAACGCCTGCGATATGTTATGGCGCCGTTTGATTCATAAACAATATTTATATTTAATATTTATATTTAAACAATATGAATGTAAGCCAGAGGAGAACTGGCCCCCGACTGAGCCTGGGTTCTCCCAAGGTTTTTTCTCCATCCAATCTGATGGAGTTTTGGTTCCTTGCCACTGTCGCCTTGCTTTTGGCTTGCTTTGAGCTTGCTCAGTTGGGGTTATTTATTTAGTGTTTAGCAATGTTGTTGATCTGTGTTGTGCTACTTACATGTTATCACTGTGAAGCTGCTTTGATACAATCTGTATTGTGAAAAGCGCTATATAAATAAATGTGACTTGACTTGACTTGACTTAAGTCCACTGATGAGTTTTTCCAGTGCTCTCAGATGTTATCTCGTGGTGAGAAGCGTGCTCACCTTTGGGCCTCTGGATGCAGGTGTGCTGGTTGTCGGACAGCAGAAACCCGTCTCGGCACCGGCATTCATAACTCCCCATCATGTTCACACAGACCTGCTGGCAGCCACCGTTTCCTTCTGAGCACTCGTCCACATCTGACGGGAAACAAGACGGGAAACATCACTGGAACTGTGCCTATTCATTTATACAAATATATAAACCGTCATTCAAAAGTTTAGGGCTGGTCTGTAAACCTTAACGCTCAATATAATAAACTGGTTTGAGAAGGCATTCAACTGACATTCAACTAATTAGCTTACCAATAACAATATACAATTATTTGAGTTTTATATCACCATAACAACCAATTATTTGAGTTTTATTGTTTTTAGACAAACTTATGTTTAACTGAAACGGCTGGAAAGTCTTTTTCCCAGCATGCTTTGCCGATGGCACTCGAAAGGGAAAGTCAATGCTAAAAATTAAGCGTAATATAATGTTGTTGGGTTTTTTTTGAGCAAGATTAATGTTAAGTGGAAGATTTAGTATGAATTAATGTTTTGTTATGCTAATTTAGAAGAATTTCTGTTAATGTTGGTTTTGGGAAAGTTACCATCATGCATGCAGAATGATTTAAAAGCAAATAAAACCTTTTTTTATGTGCTACTATATCATTACTATTATTAACATGTTAACAAAGCTTGTAATGCTGACCAAGTTTATACTAATTATAATGTTCACATTGAGATTACATGGAGGTTAAGTTAGCTGAATGAATTAGTGTGCTCAAACATTTCAAGTTAAGAACAAGTCAAATGTATAAAGTACAAAATAAAAATCTGTCGGTATTGCTTACTTAAACTTTTAATTTCTTAACTTTGATTGCCTAACATTTTTTTGAGTTTTGGGTTTTATAGCACCAAATATACATTTATTTGATGAAAAAAAATCACTAATATTGTGATATATTATTCTAATATAAAATTACTGTTTTCTTTGTGAATATATTTAAATATGATAATTTATTCCTGTGATCAAAGCTGAATTATCAGCATCATATGACCCTTCAAAAATCACTCTAATATGATGAGAAACATTCGTATAATTATCAACATTGAAAACATAATTTTTGTGGAAACCGTGATCCATTCTTCAGGATTCTTTGATGACAAGAAAGTTCAAAATAACAGTATTTTGATTAAAAAATATATATATTTGTAACGTTATAACTGTGTTTACTGTCACTTTTGATCAATTTTAATGCACCCTTGCTGAATAAAAGTATTAATTTCTTCTTTTTTTTTAAACTTTCTTCATACAATTATTATTCCATTTATAAAAATACGAAACATTTATTGAAACTATGAAACTGCAAAACCGCCTCGTTCAGAAATCATCCTATTTTTATCAATTATTTATTATAATCACTGACCATTCAACGTACATATTAACACCCATTCAACGTGGTTGTGGTATTGTTTCACATTTCACACATGCAAAGGGGGCCAGTCCCGCATTTTACAGCCAATAAATTAATGAATTCAATTAAATAATAAATATTAAATTAAATGAATGCAATATATAGATACAATATATAAATAAATAAATTACAAAAACAGCGTGACCCAAACACTTTTCCCTGTCCTGCATTGTGTAGCCAATAAATTTATATAAATATAATGCCATAAAATTTGGCTGAGAGGAAATAGGCTACAAATTTGGCCTGATTTCAAGGTTTAAGTCGCACACACACACTCTGTACACACTCACACATGATGAGAGACTCTAGCACAACTGACAGTGACATCAGGTGCGTCGAGCTCACTACTGAAACTCACAGCAAGGTTCAGCTCCCGTCAAACTGACAAATGTGTGTGTGTGTGTGTGTGTATTTGTTCTCATTCCAGATGTTTCTGTGTGTCGTCTGCCTCTCTGAGGATGAGACCGCAACCTGATCTCTCCCTTAGATACGTCGCATCAGTGTCAGTCTGTATACACAAGCTTGCTCTTAATAAACCCTCATGCGAAACTAATTTTCTGTCTATTTGTCCAATGTTACTGAGGCCTTGGGATAGAGTTTCCAATCTAGGCCATTTTCAGCAGAGCCGAGGGGGGAACATAACCATTTCCCAGCGCTCTCATCTCACACACACAATTGTGACACAAAGTTACCTACATTACATTTCTTGGAACTAAAAATCAGAACATACTAGATGTTTAATATGCGTGTGCAGGAACCAATCGGATGTCATTGTGGCCGTGGCTATTGAACGTATCAGAATTAGAAAGGCCAGAAACTTGCTCTACGCAAAAAGTCAACGCAGTGTCTAAGCATGCATATGTATTATTGAAGCAGTAAAAATCTAGGCAGTAGTTCACTTCAAATGAGTCATAAAATCCATGCTCTCAATGAGAAAACTGACAATTTCACACCAGTTTAGCACATTTCACAGCACCACGTGTGAAACCGAGCAACTACAAAACAGCTAGGAGCTTAAAGGCCCACTGAAGTGCATTGGAACGCGTAGCTAGGATGCATTGACGTAATTTCCAATGAAACATGAAGCTAAGGCGGGACATATTGAATGGCTCCTCCCCCTTTTCAAATAGCCAATAGCGTTTTTGTTTACCACACAACCTCAAGTCGTACTTGACAGCACCATGGAAGCGAATCCGAGAGCTGATGATATGTTGGATTCAATAGTAGAGCTGCGATTCATTTCCAGTCCCTCCAGAAAAACGCGATTATGCGATCGCTGAATTCAATGCAAAATCAGCCATATTTATGCGGGGGCCGCATTTTTTCAAATACGCCGCACTTTCGCCGCATTAAATAAATTTCCGTGCAAAATATGCGGGGTTTGCATGATTTCATAATCCTCGCATTTCCGTTGCAAAAAAAAAGTCACATGCATCTTAGCAGAAAGTTGAAAAATGTTGTGTTTGCTTCTCGCAAGAGCAGCCATTTCCACCTGTTTCCATGGGAACATTATGAAGTGACCCAATTACGCGACGGAATAGCTCACAGCTGAAGTTATTGCAGAGGCCAGACAGACTCATGGAGGCGACTGACATCACAAATCGAACTCGTATAACTGTCTGTCACACGTTCTACCGTCACATCGTTACTTAATAAACAACATAAGATAAAAGAATTAGCATCAAATAGAAATTACCCGCACACATGGGGTGTTTGAGGCGCACATATAACACTGCAGACAATTCAACAGGGAGCGCGCAGCTCTTAAAGGGGCCACACCTTATTTACACTCGTTATAGTCTGATATAAAACAAGATGGGAAATTAAATATTCCCAGCACTTTCTATGATGTAGTGCGCTTTCTTATCAAAGGACGTAATAAGAAATGACTCTTTACATTAAGGTAGTAGCCTAGTGAGAACAGGGTGTTGGGGGAATCACTTTTTTTCTCTTTTTCATCAAACCGCAGTTTTTGCAAGTTCCCGCAATTTTTGCAAATTCCCGCAATTTCATTGCATAAAATTGCATAAATATCCCGCATATTCCATCTCATTTTTAAAGAAAACGGGCCGCGTAATCAAGGATTTTTGCCCGCAACAATCACAAAAAACCTCCGCGTTTTTCTGGAAGGACTGCATTTCTAGCCATTTCATTCTTAACCAACGTACAGTTGGGAAACGGAATAAAACTCGAGCGTTTGAGCAACCGAACGCACATCTCAAACCTATATTGCTCTGATGTGTCGACGATCGCTTTAATGACCTGGTGGTGTTTATGGCAGAGAGGGCGGAGCTTTAGATTCTAGAGAGCATTTGATTGGACATGAGATGTGATGAGACGCTGAAGTCCGCGGTGATGTCATATAAACGCGTGATCCGGAAGTGAGACTAAGTTTTGAATGCTTACATCTCCTAAATGCAAATTGGAACATACCAGCTTAACCTTAAAAGGTTAGTTCACCCAAAAATGAAAATTCTGTCAGTATTTACTCACCCTCATGTTGTTCCAACCCCGTAAGACCTTCGTTCATCTTCGCAACACAAATTAAGATATTTAAGATATTAAGATCGCTCCTGCATACAGTCCATAGGCTTCTTGAGGGAATGACAATTGATGGCCTCGAAAAAGTCATTAAAGACATCGTTAAAATAGTCCAAGTGACTACAGGGGCTCAATCTTAAGTTTATCAAACGACGAGAACACTTTTTGTGTGCAAAAAACAACAAAAATAACGACTTTATTTCAACTATTCGTTTATTTCTCTGGTTACTAGTTTAATAGCGTAAGCTTCTGTTATTGTACGTCACACGCATCACACACATGACCAGCGTCGGCCAATAGTGAGCCTACTTGTGACGTAGCTCTACGCAATCACACTACGTTAACTGACTTACAGGTTCATCGTGAAGGAAGTAAATATTAGTTGTTTTTTGCGCACAAAAAGTGTTCTCGTCGTTTGATAAACTTAAGATTGAGCCACTGTAGTCACTTGGACTATTTTAACGATGTCTTTAATGACTTTTTGAGGCCAGCGAGAGTCATTCCCTGAAGAAGCCTATGGACTGTATGCAGGAGCGATCTTAATATCTTAAATATCTTAATTTGTGTTGCGAAGATGAACGAAGGTCTTACGGGGTTGGAACAACATGAAGGTGAGTAAATACTGACAGAATTTTCATTTTTGGATGAACTAACCCTTTAAGGCTAACATATTTATACTAAAAGCTAAAAAAAACATACATTTTGATTTCAGGGGGCCTTTAAACTTGAGGGAATATTTACAGTTTTGGATTCAAGTGTTACTACTGACGGCAATGAGATGTGAGATGCTGAGCGCCGTCTACGTTTACTGCTAACTTATTGGTCGGCCCTCCAAGCATTTGGAAACCATTTAACGTATGGCGACACCCATAAGGACTGCTAAACGTTTCCACAGAACGTACATTTGCACGTGCAAAACTTCACCACGAGTCCCTGACGCTTCAAACCCCTAACACCTTGCTCCCGCAGCATAAACAAACCAAAGATTTCCTGCCGCGTTGAGTTTTGCGAAGCTCTCCTGCATTAGGGACATGTGTTATGTGCAGGCCGCGGCCGGCGTCCAAAGCAAATATTTGGAAAAGGAACCGGATTCTGGTGAAACCCGGAGCAGAGCTCGTGCTATTTGCACTTAAA